TAAATACAACCCTTCTTACTTATCTCTTCCTCACTCAACTCTAAATTTACTTACAAAGTAACTAGCTCATCTTAATTATACAAATTATTTCTCTTAGCAATGGCCTTTTCTAAGCTTATTGTTGCTACTTTTGTCCTCTCTTTTCTTCTTCTTCATGTAGCCGAAGCTCACGAAGTGGTAAGATTCTTTATAGTCATATCAAATAAGTTTCTTTAACATGAACGTACTTGAGAGCTGAGCTTGATAGACACTCGTTACAATATTGTCATAACTATTGTAACATCTATCAGTGCTTACATATACATATTCCTTATAGAACTCTTATCGATCTTAAACATGTTTATTTTTCATAGCATATAACTAGACATATTTTCATCATATAGTTATTATATTCATGTATAACACATACTAATCTTCATTTATATTATAAGAAAATCATATTTTCCGCCATATTATCATTCATATTTCTATAAACATGATAATAAATTTTAAAAGATTTATTTTAATAAACACTATTAGCTCACTCTAATTTCTATCATAACTAGGATATGGTCGATGAGTTGACAAGTAACTAATGTTGCTCAAGTTTAGGTTTGTTGTGTCTTATTCTTAGTACCTTACTTGTCCATGTAAAAGACAGGAACATCAATTATATTTGTCTCACTTAAAACATTTTCAATAGAATATAGTATATATATTAATACTTTATAATATACTAAATTATTGGTGATATATTCTTTATTGATCGGGACTCTTAATTATTTGGCTGTATACATGGTATTTGTTTTTTCCACATACACGAACGCAAAGTTTATTGGAGTGGAATCTTCCAAAAAATAAAGAATAAAGCCAATGATATGTGACCCTAACTTGTTTTAGGGGCACATATATTTATCTGTCTTTTATCATGATATTAAAATACTCCTACCTTATTATCAACAAACGCAAATTTTTTTGGAGTTTAGAGAGCCACAAAGGGCGGGGGTGAGAATCAATCCCAGGTTCTCCTGAAATCGGTAAGAAAGCTCTAACCACTTGAGCTATTCTTCACCCTCATCAATAATGTTCTTTTTTGGTATTAAGATAATACCATCAAACTAAAGTCTTATACCAACAAGTGTTATAAGAGTAATTAATGACTCAAATTATTAGAAATTGAAAAATGTTCCTCTTACCATATAAAAAAAATTCGGATTACATCAATCCCTCCGTTTTTGTTTGATGTATCAATTTATTGTTGACTCTTATTTTTAAGAGAATTAAGTACTGTAATTACACGGAAAAAAGGGGTATTTTATTTTTAAAAATGGGTACATCTATTGAAACGGTAGGACCATTGAAAACACTGGCCTTGGGAAGCATAGGGGTAACTACCCTTGAAAACCCCCTAGCCTCCACATGGCTGGCGGTTCGGGTTTGTGACCGCGGCCGCGTGAGAGTGGTCCTTTGCTCTTAATAAGCAAAGTCAGCAATCGGCGTCCATGCATTTATACTATTATACGAATATTCTTTTTAAAAAATTGCTACATAGTCACATTTTGAACTTACTTTGTACAACTTTTAATTGTATGCAGACTGAGAGTTACGGTCCAAAGAGGTCTCTTCTTGGCATAAGTAAGTATTCATGCAAGCATGCATATTAATTTTACAATTGATATAAGGATTAATTACTCTTAACATATATATAATTGAGCTAATATAATTAATCTATGTGATTATGGGTGTAGATTGTGGAGCAGCATGTTTGGCTAGGTGCCAGTTAAGCCGAAGGCCAAACCTATGCCACAGGGCTTGTGGAACTTGTTGTGCTCGTTGCGGGTGCGTGCCACCCGGTACTTCCGGTAACCAAGAGATGTGTGCTTGCTACTACAACCAGACCACCCACGGTGGCAAACGCAAGTGCCCTTAAAATTACCCTGAAAAAATGATTGCTCAACTCCGAACCCATGTAACTTACTAGTGTTACTACGTACTTTTTCTATGTTGAGCTCGATCAAATTATTTGTTTCTCCTTTCACTTTCATGTCCTATTATATCTTATTCTCTTTTGTATTGTGTTTCTTTTCATTTTGTTGGTTGAGTATTATATCATTGTATGTATGTAATGCTATTTAATTATTGTATACGTTCACTATTGTGAATGATCGAATATAATAAAATTATTGGGTCTCTTGTCTTGATCTTTGGCCTCCTTATTAAAAACTCTCTTCAAGTTAGTGTACCACCTTCGGCTTGTTTATTTTATATCACATTAGGACTTCATTTTCGGTTTAATGATTTAAAGTCATTTTTTTTAATATGTTATGAGATTGTCAGTTGTAGTTAGAAACTTATACATATACGCTTGATTTTTCCTATCGGTCCATTATGCGTATGCTAAAGAGAGAAATGTTAAAATTAGTAAATGGATATTTTCAAAAAATTAATATGGTTAAGGTAGTTCTTTGCTAGGGTGTCATAGTCCTAATACCTAACCTAACTAAACCAATCAATTCTTCCCGTTATAATCAAAGTTGATAGGAACATTACTCCCCTTATCCCTTAAAGATTACACGAATCGACTAAGTATAAGCTATATCCTACTTCCATGAGTTCCATCAAGCTCTAGATTTGAGATATCTCTACATCTATTCTAATCTAGCTTTAGTTTCCCTATCTCGATCTTAACTTATCACCCAACTTCTTATAATATTATTACTACATACATAAATTTTAATTGGCTTTTTAAAAATTAGCCATGCAAACCTATTTGGGCAATTTTTAGGATTGAGATTGTCAACTCATGATTGTGCCAAAGATTTTCAATCATTCAAGCATCCTCTATAATCCGAATTACAATAGTCAACAAATCCGTTTACTAGACTACTGTAAGAGGACAAGGGAACGAGGAAATGTCGTGTGTTCCTCAACGGTTTGAGAAGTAATCAATCCCTTAAGATTTCTAAGTTGTCTTATTCAGATCTCTGTCAAGGGAAAACTTTGAGTTTCTTCAAACATTCTGCTGTTTCATGGATAACTGTACGAGTAAAGGAAAAGACCACCTATGACGGGCGAGCTGAATCTCACAATGCAAAGGACTACAAAACTCCAGAAACCTTGTCCATGCACGTACACTAGGATGGTGAGTCCAAAAAAGAGGAGTCGCGACAGAAAGGGAAAAAGGAACAATGCCAAGCGACCCTTGGATGCCGCCGTGGGCAGCCATGTTGTTAGGCTTCCTAAGCCCAATACCGTTGTCGTTGAGAAGTTAGATGATCAACCACCCACTAGCCTAATTTCTAGCAGCAACGAGGGGTCAAACATCAAGGAGGGGAGCGAGATACCTGCGAAAGATTTAAGAAGTGGAGTCTGTAGGTTCTATTTACGCAGATATCATGATTGTCGATCTCGACCATGTGCAGTCTTCTCCACTACGCCTTACCTTTACGTTATCTGCCACGCAAAGAAAATATGGAAGGCCCATCAGGTCAAGGGTGAAGAACAAGAAAGGTAAAAGGTATCACAATTTTTGTTTTTGCAGGATAAAAAAACGCAAGGGAACAAGTTTAATTGGAACAACTTATGGCTAATTCCGACAATAGATCTTCTCAATCCCCTTATATACTTTGTCCAGCAGTTCATAGTGTTTGTAATCCCAATCACCTATTTAGTTCTTGTATTAGTTTGGTTAAGAGAGTGAAGTATTCTTCTTGTAATCTTGAGTCAGTTGGGAACTAGCCTCCTTTTTGAACCATTGAAAAAAAAAAAAAAATCCGTTTACATCTCTTTCAAACTCATCAAGGTAAACATTTTATTCCAATGAAGTTTTGGTCTAATAGTTATGACTGAGTAACTTTATACAACAGGTCACAAACTCAAATTCTTCCACTCTCATCTGTAATTTGTATTGCCCTTATGACACAGTTTGTTGTTCAATTCAAATAACTCGGCCTTTGTGGCTATGAGTGCTACTTTGTGTTACTCACCAATAAGCACCTTCTTGGCTTCTTTCTATATCTTCTTTTGTTAAGATACAACACACACAGTAGTTGTAATAGACATGTTGCAAATAATTGTCAAATTAAAGTTTAAAAAACACGAGTAAAGAAAAATACTTGCAAAAACACGAGTAGAGAAAAATGCTCCTTCAATAGACCTATTTCAAAAGAAAAACAATTTGTTTAATTTCATCATTGATTAACAACTTACAAATTGATTACAAATACAAGACCACAATTACATATAAAAAACATACGTCAAATCACCATACTATGTTTAAAAAGTGCCTACTATAGTGATTAATTAATTAACTTATTCAAGCAGTAGAAATATCAATGGACTTGATTTCAGGCTTCTTTTCCTCTGCTTTAGGAACAATGACAGTAAGAACACCATTCTCCATATTAGCCTTGATCTCCTCCATGTTCGCATTCTCCGGCAACCTGAACCTCCTTAGGAACTTTCCAGAACTCCGTTCAACTCGATGCCACTTGTCATTCTTCTCCTCTTGCTCCCTGTTTCTCTCACCACTGATCTGGAGCACCTTCCCATCTTCAACCTCAACCTTGACCTCCTCTTTCTTCAAACCGGGTAAATCCGCCTTGAATACATGGGCCTCCGGAGTCTCTCGCCAGTCAATACGGGTGCTCACAAAAGCAGCCGTGTCGCCGCCAGTGGAGGAGATCGATCGAGAGGTATTGTTGTTGAAGGGGAAAGCTTGAAAAGGGTCCCGTAAATCAAGAAAGAATGGGTCGAAGATGTTGCTTTGTCGGTTTTCGAAAAAGCTTGGTATTAGCGACATTCTTTTAGGAATTTCAATTGATCGTTGATTTGTTGTTTTCAGGTGTTTAGAATCGATGGTACTTGAGGTTTTGATATTTGTTTCTAATGAAAAGATTGTAGACCTTTGGATTTTATTTATAGATGATAAATCGAAAGTTCTAGTTTTTTTCCAGAATGTTTCTGATTTTGAATCGATGTTATCTTGATTTGCCGGGAAAACAGAGTGATGGAAGATAACAGGGATTTCATGTATTTTCTAGAACTTTTTTCCAATGTGAATGAAATACTACTGTAGTGAATTTTTATTTCCAATAATTTTTTGGAAAATTTGACATTTGCTATTAGCGAAAGAATCTTAGTTCATATTTGCTACATGTTTAATTTTTTATTTTACTTTAATACTACCCAAATTCCAAAATTATAGTTATTGCTACCACTTAACAGAATTTGTTAGGGTTCGGTTAAGTGGGACCCATTATTTCATTAAATTATAATTTAATTTATTAAAAAAAAAGGAAAAAAACTTTTTTTTTAAAAATAAATTCCTAGCCACCTCCACCTCCCCGTCAGCCACCTTCCCCCATCCCCGTGTTGGCTTTCGTCGCCCGTGCCGGCGCCCAAACGTTCCCTGATGCCAGCGAACCCTACCTCCTCCATTTCCCCCGCCCAAGCTGCCCGAAACCACCCTGAACGGGTGAAAACGAAACCCCAAAACCCGTTTAGGGTGTTTTCGGGGAATGGGTTTAGGATAGGGGTGTCGGTTTTTGGGTGGGGGAAGGGGAGGGGGGTCAATTTAGGGTGGGGGAAGGGGAGAGGGGCCGTTCCAGTTGAGGGAAAGGGGGAATGGGTGGTGTCGGGGTGGGGGTTTCGTTATAACCACCCCAAACGGGTTTTAGTGTTTCATTTTTATCTGTTTAGGGTGGTTTCAGGGCATCTTTGATGGGGGAAAGGGAGTGGGGTGGGGTCGCCGGCATTGGGGGATCGTTTGGGCGCCGACGTTGATGGGGGAAAGGGAGGTTGGACGGTGGCAGTGAGGGTGACTGAAAATGTAGCGGTGGCTGGAAGGTGGCAGTGAGGTGGCTGGGGATGGAGAGGTGGCTGGAAGGTGGCAGTGAAGTGGTTGGACGGTGGTTGGGCCCCACTAACGGAAATAAAAACGGCATAAGGCAACAGGTAGTGATATCTATAATTTTGGGATTTGGGTGGTAGTAAGATAAAATAAAAAATTAAACAGGTAGCAAATATGAACCAAATTTCTTTCGCTGGTAGCAAATGTCAAAATTTCCTTACTTTTTAATTTCTTTTTCAATTTGACGTTTTTCTCTATTTATCTCATCATCACTCATCACGTGCATATCTGATTATATGTCTTTCACTCTCTATATCAACACTCACAAACAAATCTTGTACAACCCTCCAAAGGGTAGTATTTGACTTGAAATATGCCAAATTATTGAAAGAAAGAAAGAAAATTGTATTGTTGTTACAACATTAGCAGTTTCCATCAAGATTAAATGGTCATTGTAACCCAATTTGAAGCCATAGGGTGTGTAGGAGCATTTACTTCAAATTGTTAGTGGTTAGTTAAACCCTAACGTATAAAATGTGAGAACTAATATATGAGAACAAATCTAAGCCGTAAGATTAGATTAAAGTAGACGGTTAAGATCAACGGAGAACAAGTAATGGCATTAGTGTAAATAATGAAACTGCCCAACTTCATATTTTACCCAAAATATCTGATTTTCTCTCTCATCAAACACTTTCACACAAATATCTGATTTTCTCTCTCATCAAACACTTTCACACTTTCCTTCATCTTCTCTCTTAAAACCACCAATTTTTCTCTAAAATGCATTGTAACTGCTCCAAATCAAAGCAAATCGCATCGATTCCTTTTGATTTTTTCTCAAATTCAACGAATTTTATTCATAAACTTATATAAAATAAGTTGAATTGGGCAATTTAATAAGAATTTTTGAAAATACGAACCCTAATTTGGCGAAAGAACAAATTGAAGAAAATTTGGAATGGAGGTTGGCGAAGAACAATTAATTCGTACAGAAATTTGTTCTGAAATGCAACGGTAACTTATACTCCAATATTTTCAAAGATTTTAATGATTTTTTGGGCGATTTTCGACTAATATTTTGTATACCAGTCTAATTGTGTTGTATCTATTCGAATTAATATTTGTTGTTTGCTTGACATGCTTTGAATTAATATTTATGCTTATGTTCTAAATTTATATGTATTGTTGTATGATTTGTTGGTTCGTGTGAGATGGAGGTGGCTGATTTAGGTTGTTTGGAGGGTTGAATTGAGGAAACTGGGCTGAGTTTGTGTGGAACAGATTATCAGTGCCTAAGCACACAAACTCAGTGAATTTTTATGATACTTATGAATATCCTGATAGTGCATACAAGGTGTTTGATAAAATGCTTGTTAGAAATCCTGTGACTTGCTACTATATTATCAGTGAATGTCTAGTAGTAGACTGTATTTTAGTCGTGGTAATTGGTTTCCATGGGTTTCCTTGCCTTTTCTCATAATCTTTTATGAACCACCTGTAGGGACTAGGTGGGCAGTTAGATACTTGTATGAAATTTTGCGTTAAACTTAGCATTTGGGTTCTGTGTTTCTTGGAAGTACTAGATTGATTGGTATGTGATCCAGTATATTTGGATCTTGGTTTGATGTTAATCATATACTGTCGTGCTCTGACTATAGCAGAGAAAAAGATTCAGAATTGTGTTCACTTCATTAATAAGACCCTGACTGTAGCTCCGTATCTTGCCGCAATTGATGTTCTTGTCTAAAACTCACAGGTACTTGCAGCTGGCATATCTATCTTGTATTGGAGGAGGCTTTTGCTTAATTTTGTTCTGAAATCAATATAAAAGTTTTAAAACTCACAGGTACTTCGCTGCTTGTTTTGATAATATGTGATGAGCAATGATTCTTTGTTCATGTATCAAATGAGCAACAATTCTTTGCTCATTTATCAAATGAGCAAATAATTTCTTGCTCTTTTACCAAATGAGTAAACAATTCGTTGCTCATTTATCAAATGAGCAACAATTCTTTGCTCATTTATCAAATGAGCAAACAATTCTTTGCTCATTTATTAAATGAGCAACAATTCTTTGTTCATTCACTACAAGAAATAGGCCGGATTCCGACGAAAACGTTTCGATGGACTTAAATTCCGTCGAAAAAGGTAAATTACGACGGAAAATCACTCGGAAATATTTCGACGAATTTTTTTTCACTTGGAATTTACAGCTTCCGACGGAATATTCCGTCGGAAACTGTAAATTCCGAGGGAAAAAATCCGTCGGAACAAATAAAACAAAAAAAATAAAAATTGAAAAACAACTAACCCTAAAAAAACCGGACTTCCACCTCCCCTTCATTTCTCTTTTCTCTCTCCTCTCCTCTTCTCTCTCTCCGCCTCTCTTCTCTTTCTCTCTCTTCTCCTCTTTCCTCTTCTCTTTCTCTATGAATTCCTCTCCTCCCTTCTCTCTCCTCCGTCATTTCTCTTCTCCTTCTCACTTCTCCTCTCTTCTCCTTATCCTTCTCACACCACCACTACGCAGCCCACACTACTCCTCCTTTTTCCCCTTTCTCTTTCTCTCTCCTCTCAACAACAACATTAATAACCACACACAACCGCAACAACCAGCCACGCATCACCTACTCCGTATTCACCGGGAAGCCGCCGCGTCAAGCACCTTAGTCCACCGTCAAGCACCGTCGCGAGCCACCAGTCTCAAGGTTTTTGTTTTTTTTAGATCTTGTAATTTAGGTTTAGTGTAGATCTAGTTAATTTTGTATGGAATTGTAATGTTAGTTTATAATATTTATTAGACAATTGTATATTTATATATTTCTTTTAATTTTCGTTGGTTAATCATCGTTTTTATTAAAAAAATTTAATGAAATTCTGATTAATATGTAGATCTACTGGTTTTGATTTTTTTGTGTGGTATTTTTTTATTATGCTGTGTTAATTTTCGTATTTTTGGGGTTGATTTTCCTTTTTTTTGTTTTTTTTTGGGTTAATTTCGGTTTTGACAGAATTTCTAGAATGGTGGTGGTGTGTGGTGGTGTCGGTGGTGGTGGGTGAGGGCTAGTGCGAGTTTGGTGCTGGGTGGTTTCGGTTTGGTGCGGGTGGGGTTTTGGTGGGGGTGGGTTAGGGGGGCTTCGTGGGTGGGGATCTGGGTTGTGGGGGTTTTGTGGGTGGATCTGGGTTGTGGGGGTTTCGGTGGTCTGATGTGGGGATAATGGTTGTGGTGGTCTGAGGTTGAGGGTAGGGGGATGGGCTGGTAGGGGTATGGGTGGGTAGGGGGGCAGGGGGTGGGCTGGTGGTGTGGGCTGGTAGTGGGGGTGGTGGGTGGGGCTGTTTTTTTTTTTTTTTTTTTTTTATTAACTTTTCCGACGGAAATTTCCGTCAGAAGGTAGTAGATTTTGAGGAATTTTCCGTCGGAAGAGGTATATTTTGATGGAAAACTCCGTCGAAAGAGGTATATTCCGACGGACTCTCGATAAAAGGCAAAAACAGCGCCAACAGAAAATAATCCGTCGGAAACTAGCCTTTTGACGGAATTTCTGTCGGAAAAGGTCGAATTTCCTACAAAGTGTTTTGCGACAGACTGATTCCGACGGAAGACCATTTTTTGATGGAATTTCTGATGATTCCGACGGATTTTTTCCGTCGGAATCAAGTTGTTTTCTTGTAGTGGATTGTTTATAACATATGAAAAAAACTATTTATAACATATGATAAAACCTATTAGCTCCACTGGTAGAGCACTATGCAAATGCATAGGATGTAGGTTCAATTCCTACATAGGTTATAACTATAAATAACTTAAAAAATTAATTAAAAATAAAGAAAATCAAATTAGCAAAAAATTATATGAGCAAAAAAATGGTTTGAAATGATTTATAACTATATAAACTTTGTTACAATTAAACTCTCATACAAACTTGTGTCTCCTCATTACACAAATGAACCTACGTGGGATTCAAACCCACATCTTTTGTGCATTTGCACAATGCTCTACCCTTGAGCTAGTAGGCTAATGTATTTTAAACATTCAAACATACTCACAAATGAGTATTAATTTGACAAAATGAGCAAGAATCATTTGCTCATTTGACAAATGAACATTAAATAGTTTGGTCATTCGACAAAGGAGCATTGAATTTTTTTGCTCATTTGACAAATGAGCAAAAATTGATTGCTCATTTGACAAATGAGCAAAAAATAAATGCTCATTTGACAAATGAGCAAAAAATTAATTGCTCATTTTGACAAATTATTTGCTCATTTTTGACAAATTAGTAAAGAATAAATATTAATTTTTAACACCGCATTCGAGAGGAGTCTGACTGACTTTCACCATTCTCTTCGT